AGCCTATTTCGGGATAAGCAATTAAATTTAATATCAAATTACAAAATATAATATTTTAATTTAGAGTAAAATATATTAAAGCAACTAATTTAAGAATCAGTATTAAAGGTGGATATCATATATTTATTGTATTGTATCACTAGGAGTTTGAGTTCTTATACCTTACCATGTATTAAATATACGGTAATATTAATTTTCTATTTTTACTTATTGTGGAAAGTTGAAGTACTAACTTTATAGGACTGTTTGTTGAAGTAAGACAGTTAAACAAATTCATAGGGTATAACGAATGCAAAACAATTACATATTACATAATAAATTTATGATAAAGTTCATACATGTCTATAGTATTATTCTGTAATTCTAGGCATTAACTCTAATATCATAGTAAAATCTAATACACTTATCAAATAATATGCATTTTTGGAACTTATATATATTTTTTATAAATTACCGGTAATAGTGAGAAATATTTGGATAGTACATGAAAATAATATTTGATAGAATGTAAACTGTGTTAAGTCTAAACACTAATCACGATATTTCTGGTGAATATGTATTACAATGACTGCAACGAACCTCTTCCCTCTAAATGTGATGACTCAATGACACAAACTTTGAGACCATAGATGTGGCAATTAACAGCAACACTCACTTATTCTGTGGTTACCACCACTTCTTAGTAAATATAATGTCATTTCCTGCTCCGGAAGGGAAGCAACTATTGCTCATATTTGCAAATATCACTCAAGACAAGTGAATGACCCGTCTCTCCAATTCTTGTCATATAATGAATTATAAATTGCGGCAATTGTTCATCTCATGAGTCCCTCCCAATCCCTCATCAATATACTTAACACTAAACATACTATCCATTTGTTATCATATCATATATAATCTGTGAGATAGTGATCAGTGAGCGGATGTTTGGGTCACATAAATCTAATAATGTAACCTTTTGTACAATAAACTTTACACTGAATTGAATGCAACAAATAATTTATTAAATCGAAACAAGTTTTATAAATAAAATGACAAATAATTGAATGAATGGTCGCATTGTGACAATCAATATATGTTTGTCTTAATCGATATGAATGTTGAGAATGTCTGAAAGCATGTGTGGTTTAAGCCAATTGACTAAAGGGGTGACTCCTGGGGTGTAATGAGACATCTTATGGAAGAAGAGTAGGCCGTCCAGTGCTGACGAGAACTGTTTGGGCGCCTTAAGAGTGGACACTATCTCGGATTCAGTGCACCCGTAATGCTTGAGTACAACAAATGGATATGAATTGCAATGAGTTCTTTGTATCACTTCCGGACATTCTTCGCGCAGTTTGGAGTTCAACCAGAAGAACCTGAACTCAGTATCGCATCCATCGAAATGGCATCCATTCCAAGAGATCACATCCAACACGTAATACACTCTCTCTGATTGGCTGTAAATACAGTCGAGAATGGAGTTGTGTTTCGAGTCTTTCGATGTCTTAGTGTCTCCTCCGGGAAGTCTTGTCCTCAACGTTGTCATCAAATATCCCGTTCGCGAGTAAACCTTTGTCTGACCCCTTGTGGACACCACGAGACACCTCTTGCCCACCGGACACAACACTAAATACCAATTTGTGGCAAAATCTTCAGGTGTTTGGACCAACCATTCCGATAGCATTAACTGGTTCTTCGCTTTACTCACATAAAACTTCCTCTCCTTTGAACCGCTTTTTGGATCACTTCTTGTGTCCATTGGTTCACATTTAGTGCTTTCTGGAGACGATTCATCCAAAAGGTGTCGAAATTTCGATACAATTTGTTCCCGATTTCTGTCAACAAATCAAATATCAATGAATTTCAATGATTACTAAATCAAAGCNAGTGACGACAAGAATCCAGAGATCAAAGAAGAGGTAGAAATTAAGCCCACAATCGATGCAAATGAGAGTCAGACACAAACGGAAACCAATGAGACGTCGGCTCCAGTTATCGCCAATAAAGTGAGACTTATATCATATATGTCTTCAATTGTCACCAAATATTAATGCATTGCATGACTTCCTCTTAGTTCCAAAACGACGGCTCATTTCTGGAGAGATTTCTTCAAATGAAGAAAAGTGTTGAACAAAACAGTGAACCGATTGTGAAGACAGAGCCAAATGACACAACGAAAGCGATTAAACCCATAAAAATGGTGATCAAAGAGTGAGTGATTATATGATAAATAGTGGTAAATGTCTAAAATGGTGATCGACTGGCATTTGATCAGAAATAGCTCCAAATTGAAAGCCATTTGTTCAGTGGAGGCATCGACTGTAAAACTGTTTGAAGAGGACATCAAAGGTATTTAATGTTTAGTAAACACACAACTATTCAATAGTTATGTCAATCGATGGCAATGGAGTTGGAGTTTAGTGTTACACTTGAACTGATCCGATGCTTAAAGTCTCTCCACCAGAGGGTAAGGACATTGAGTTGGCTATAGAGAGGACTGCTATTAGTGTCACAATGAATGGCGCAAAAGCGGAGGACAATATCCGTGAGTCGAAAGCCGAAGACACGCACTACAGGTTTGTGGCAATGATTGTAGTGATGAACACTTGATTGGATTATATTTTGTATAAACTTTCCAACAGTTGGCTCAGAGATAAAGAGTCAGAAAATTATAGATTTTATCAAAAAAGAGTGGAAGAGCTGAAAGAAGCCAAAGTGAGGGCACAGAACGACGGCCTTTTCGATGACGGTATGTCTGGTGACAATTGGTCTCAATTGCATTGAATGAGATATAATTGTTGTGCAAATCAGGCGCCGAGTCGTCGAGCAGTAGACCTGTTAAGAAGAAGCAGAAGAAGTCTCGTTGGAGTGACGAGAAGGTGGACTTAAAGCCATCGGATCCCACATTAATTGAATACGCGTTGCAAGTGTTTGGGAGCACAGACTTAACGGCAGACCAATGGAAACAACTCGAAGATCAGCGAAAAATGAAGATATTGTTCGAAATGCTGCAGAAGAAGCAACAGATGAACCAAAGATTAGCCAATAGTGGAAAAGTGAAGTATGAATACGATAGTGATGAAGAAGTGGACGCGACAGACGGCACGTGGGAACACAAACGGCGCCGACAGGAGATGCTGGCGACACACACATTGGCCAATGAACTGACGGAAAAGGGGTCGGGAAAGCATCACATCGGAGACTTCATGCCTCCCGAAGAACTCGACCGCTTCATGAAGAAGTGGGAGGCACTCAAAGATGGCGAACCACTTCCGGATGATTCAGATTACAGCGATTCCAAACTCAAAGAGGATAACGTGGGCTTTAAAATGCTTAAGAAGTTGGGATGGAGTGAGGGTCAGGGACTTGGCTCACAGGGCACCGGTACTGCCGAACCCATTAACAAGTACTGCAACTGTTATATTAAATAACTTATTGACAATCTCTCTGTTACTTTCAACTCATTTGTCATATATTTGGTGATCAGATCTGTGGGCGCTGTGAACAACGCTGGTTTGGGTCAAACACGTCCTGAAGAACTTAGTAATACCGACGATGAATATGAAGCGTACGAATGCATTGTTTTTATGAATATATACCTTAAATATAGAGTAATATAATAATGTGTTTAATGTATTGTTTATATAGCTATCGGAAGCGAATGATGATGGCCTATAGGTTTAGACCCAATCCTCTGGTAATAAATCTCTTAATTTATTATTTAGTCACTAATGGTATGTCTATTGCAGAACAATCCTCGTCGGGCTTACTATTGAACCATTACTTGCTTGTCATGAATATATAAATTATAATAATGTAAACTAATTATGAAAATATTAATATTAATCTGATCTCTCAGTTAATATGAATTGTATTTATATTTAACTCAATTTTATATTTATGTGACTCTTTTGAACACTTTTACAGTTAAGAGACATTTAATTTATATTAAAATAAATTGTTTTAATTTTGTTGACAATTATCACTGTATTGATCACAGACTCACTCGTGAGGTAAAGAAGCACACATTTGGTTGGGCTTTGATTTATTAATAAGTTACTGTATGTTATTAAATCATTTACACATAAATTTATACAGTATTGCGTGATTTGAATGCATGGATATTGAAAAAACATATTGAAGTAAATAAATGACGTGCAATTTTAGCATTTATATTGAGTCCCCTTTTATAAGATTTGCCGCTTTTTGACAGTAAATGAATAGATATAATGAATGCAATTGCATGTAATTTATGCATTCAATCACTTGTAGACTAATGTTTTGAATTGACGTTTGAATTGTGTTTACAGTGTTTGTCATTTGAATGATTATGTCTTGCGATGACATAATCGAGTCATTCAGTGAGGCCTTCCTCATCACCAACACATCCAATGATACAAACAGATGTCATCCCAAGTATAACCCATACAGGAGTAGCAAACAATGTCTTCAGGAGATGTCTATTGCAGAACAATCCTCGTCGGGCTTACTATTGAACCATTACTTGCTTGTCATGAATATATAAATTATAATAATGTAAACTAATTATGAAAATATTAATATTAATCTGATCTCTCAGTTAATACGAATTGTATTTATATTTAACTCAATTTTATATTTATGTGACTCTTTTGAACAATTTTACAGTTAAGAGACATTTAATTTATATTAAAATAAATTGTTTTAATTTTGTTGACAATTATCACTGTATTGATCACAGACTCACTCGTGAGGTAACAGACATTTGGTATTGATTTATACAAATGACGTGCAATTTTAGCATTTATATTGAATCCCCTTTTATAAGATTTGCTGCTTTTTGACAGTAAATGAATAGATATAATGAATGCAATTGCATGCATGTAATTTATGCATTCAATCACTTGTAGACTAATGTTTTGAATTGACGTTTGAATTGTGTTTACAAAGTGTTTGTCATTTGAATGAATGATGTCTTGCGATGACATAATCGAGTCATTCAGTGAGGCCTTCCTCATCACCAACACATCCAATGATACAAACAGATGTCATCCCAAGTATAACCCATACAGGAGTAGCAAACAATGTCTTCAGGAGACCCGTCGCAAGCAATTCATCGACAACCAGAAGAAGTAATCATTAATTGCTTTGATTTAGTAATCATTGAAATTCATTGATATTTGATTTGTTGACAGAAATCGGGAACAAATTGTATCGAAATTTCGACACCTTTTGGATGAATCGTCTCCAGAAAGCACTAAATGTGAACCAATGGACACAAGAAGTGATCCAAAAAGCGGTTCAAAGGAGAGGAAGTTTTATGTGAGTAAAGCGAAGAACCAGTTAATGCTATCGGAATGGTTGGTCCAAACACCTGAAGATTTTGCCACAAATTGGTATTTAGTGTTGTGTCCGGTGGGCAAGAGGTGTCTCGTGGTGTCCACAAGGGGTCAGACGAAGGTTTACTCTCGAACGGGATATTTGATGACAACGTTGAGGACAAGACTTCCCGGAGGAGACACTAAGACATCGAAAGACTCGAAACACAACTGCATTCTCGACTGTATTTACAGCCAATCAGAGAGAGTGTATTACGTGTTGGATGTGATCTCTTGGAATGGATGCCATTTCGATGGATGTGATACTGAGTTCAGGTTCTTCTGGTTGAACTCCAAACTGCGCGAAGAATGTCCGCAAGTGACACAAAGAACTCATTGCAATTCATATCCATTTGTTGCGCTCAAGCATTACGGGTGCTCTGAATCGGAGATAGTGTCCACTCTTAAGGCGCCCAAACAGTTCTCGTCAGCACTGGACGGCCTACTCTTCTTCCATAAGATGTCTCATTACACCCCAGGAGTCACCCCTTTAGTCAATTGGCTTAAACCACACATGCTTTCAGACATTCTCAACATTCATATCGATTAAGACAAACATATATTGATTGTCACAATGCGACCATTCATTCAATTATTTGTCATTTTATTTATAAAACTTGTTTCGATTTAATAAATTATTTGTTGCATTCAATTCAGTGTAAAGTTTATTGTACAAAAGGTTACATTATTAGATTTATGTGACCCAAACATCCGCTCACTGATCACTATCTCACAGATTATATATGATATGATAATAAATGGATAGTATGTTTAGTGTTAAGTATATTGATGAGGGATTGGGAGGGACTCCTGAGATGAACAATTGGAGAGACGGGTCATTCACTTGTCTTGAGTGATATTTGCAAATATTATGAGCAATAGTTGCTTCCCTTCCGGAGCAGGAAATGACATTATATTTACTAAGAAGTGGTGGTAACCACAAAATAAGTGAGTGTTGCTGTTAATTGCCACATCTATGGTCTCAAAGTTTGTGTCATTGAGTCATCACATTTAGAGGGAAGAGGTTCGTTGCAGTCATTGTAATATATATTCACCAGAAATATCGTGATTAGTGTTTAGACTTAACACAGTTTACATTCTATCAAATATTATTTTCATGTACTATCCAAATATTTCTCACTATTACCGGTAATTTATAAAAATATATATATAAGTTCCAAAAATGCATATTATTTGATAAGTGTATTAGATTTTACTATGATATTAGAGTTAATGCCTAGAATTACAGAATAATACTATAGACATGTATCAACTTTATCATAAATTTATTATGTAATATGTAATTGTTTTGCATTCGTTATACCCTATGATTTTGTTTAACTGTCTTACTTCAACAAACAAAGTCCTATAAAGTTAGTACTTCAACTTTCCACAATAAAGTAAATATAAAAAATTAATATTACCGTATATTTAATACATGGTAGGGTATAAGAATCCAAACTCCTAGTGATACAATACCATAAATATATGATATCCACCTTTAATACTGATTCTTAAATTAGTTGCTTTAATATATTTTACTCTAAATTAAAATATTATATTTTGTAATTTGATATTAAATTTAATTGCTTATCCCGAAATAGGCTGTACAAGTATGTTTCAGTTTTAAAAACAAGTTAGTACAACATATTATCTTAATATGATACTGTAATAGCCTAGAAATGTTTATAACTTTAATTTATTATTACAGTTATTAAAGTGTAAAATTTATATTACATCACAAAAAGCTATAAAATATTTATAATTATAATTTTTCTAAAATCCTATTCGTCTACACAAATAATAAATATTTAAAACATATCATAAAAATGTTGAAATTAATAATGAAATGAATGTAAACTTTCTTAGAACTGAGAAAATGAATCACTTTTTGAAAGATTTCCGCTGAAGAGTGAGAAATAGCTATAAATATACAATAAATAAGACTTCAATAGCATTGATATAATGATCACGAATTGGCGTCCAATGTATTGAAGCTATGTCTCAACTAATGCTCATTAAAAGTGTATTAAAGATATATTCAATGAATTCAAATATACAATAATATGGAGACAAATAAGATAAGGATTAATCACGAATGCATAGCCGAGTGTTATAGTAGATGTCCTTGCACCCTCTCACCAGTTTCCAAGCATATCAAACGTGCCCTAAACTGACCCTGAGTTTAAGGAAATTTTGCTTATGCTCTAAAAAGTTGACAAAACAAACTACAATTGTATGAATAGCTCGTATGAATGCATTTACGCCGTAATTGTGTTTAATAAATGTTTGGCCAAAATATGGTTCACTTTCGTGACACTATAGCCAAGTGAATGGTATACTGTATACTGTATACTGGATTAGCCGTAATAAGTCATAAGTGTTATACTGAACAGTGAACTACAGTGAGTGTACAGTGAGTGAGTCTGCGAGAGACTGGTGTGAGTGTATCGCCAGTACAGTGAGTGGCAGTCTGTGAGCAGTAGTAGTGGTCGTCAGTCAGAGTCAGAGTCAGAGGCAGTGAACGATGAAAGCAGTGATGAGTCGATCATATGTCACACGAAGGACTCGAGAGGTCTGACCACTGTTTACATGATATGCCAATTGGTCCGCAATTGACTTCATGTCCAAGTGATCACTCAAACCATTCAATACATTGTCTCATTTATTTACATATTATTTGTATTCAATGCTATTTGCCATAGCAATCATAATCGCATCTAATGGCAATTAATTGCAATACTAATCACTATATAAAATGCAATTTACTTATAATGTCTTGTAATGTCTTATAATGTCTTATAATGATGATAATAATGAATATACAATAACCATTAAGGCAATATGCTAGTGTAATATTAATCAGTGTATAATAATGTGTCTACTATTAAACATAGCAGTAATAATGGTGGAAGTGCTGAAGTGATAATCGTTGATCAATGGCTTATTTATTGATTCAAATAAACTCATATTTATTGAAAATTTCAAATATTTTTTATATACCTATAAATGAATTGAAATGTGATTCACATCTAATAAAATGCAAATCAAAAACATCTTCAATACAATCAAATGAATTGTTTTTTGTATTAATACTATTGACTACTATATGTCTAAATGCAGTCAAATGTGATCTAAATGTCTTCACCAATGAGTTCGCCGTTTCTCTTAAGCCTAATAAATGTCTTCAATACAATCAAATGAATTGTTTTTTGTATTAATACTATTGACTACTATATGTCTAAATGCAGTCAAATGTGATCTAAATGTCTTCACCAATGAGTTCGCCGTTTCTCTTAAGCCTAATAAATGTCTTGAATCGGACGCACAGTCTTTGGCCGATAGATATGGCTTTCAATTGGTTGGACAGGTATTGAACCGCTTGACAGCTGTTCCCACACATGCACTCACGTAACCATATATTAATCCTTAGATTGGATCCATTGATTGTCACTATTTATTGCGATTGAATCATATCTCCAAGAGATCCACTGATTTGTCTCATCCGGATCACTCACTCTTGAGTGGGGACTCGGATGTGAGTCTTATTTCACTGATTAACTCATCCTTATTATGAAGAATATGTCCTAATATTAGTTGAAAGCAATTTTGATTCATA